GAGCAGGCTCAAGCAGATCCCATCCCTACACTCTATAAAACCTTAATCATCATCATCATCTGTAACGACAACATTCCTATTTCTCTTTCTTCCTTTGACTACCACTGGCATTTCCTCTTCCTCATCTTCGTCAGGTTCACTAAGAATTTGATCTACGACGTTAATCTCTTCATCTTCCTCAGTGATACGTTGTTGCTCCTTTATTCGTTTCTTATGGTGTTCATTACGATCTTGGGATTCTCCTTGATTCTCACCATCTGATTCCTCAAAATTATTATTCCTTCGAGATTTTGGTATTTCTTCAGTATAATGATGCTCTTTTACTCGCTTTTTGGATCGTTCATGACGATCGCGATGCTCGTAAGACGGCTCGACATCCATTTGAAAGGGATCATCTTGATCATCATTTGATTCGTCATCATAAAAGCGATGCTTTTTGGATTTCGATGTCGCAAAGCTGGATGTTGTTTTCTTACGAGAGCTATCAATCTTCTCTTTTCCTTTACGACGTCGCTTTCTATCAAACTCATCATCATCATCCTCATCTGCAACCACAAATCCAGAGTCATCTTCGTAAGAATCATTCCGCGGTTTACTAACGCCAAATGCAGGATTTCTTTCTTCTGCATCAGAATCATCATCATGCTTTTTACGTCCCTTGGGAGCGCGATTCGCATTTGTCATGCGCTTTTGAACATTATGTTTTTTATCTCTTTCAGCCTAGATCAAAACTCATATTATACATATATATACTTATATATGTCGTACAATAATTCAAACATCAAAATTTTACTAAAATACCTCTATTTGGAGTCGAATCAATTTTGGATCTTTATTCATATCAACAAACTGAGTTTTTACTTGCTTTGCATGCCTAGATTGAATGGCTATGGTTAATTTCTTATGAGTAGTGCTGCCTGAAATAGGGCAGAAAGTAATATGCTCATTGAGCTTTTCATGAAGCTCAAGCGTATTTGATCCTCGATGAGGAACCGTGAGAAATTGGTGTTTTGATTCTAGAGATTCACTAGATATTTCAAATTGTTCCTTTCCAATAAGTAGGGTCTTTGATCCATCACTCCACTTTATTATCCTGGCATTTGATTCTTTTTCATTAGTCTACAATTTAGTAAGCAAACAATGTAATAATATGAATGAAAAGAAACAATTGAATAATACTATAAATACATACCTCTATACCTGTATTTGGATCCTTCTTGTATCGCCAACGCAATCCATCTTGTGCACCTAACTTTATCGCATCTTCGACTGTCTGATCATCTGCTTGACTATAGGTTTCTGGTCGAAAAGCGGCAGTCGTATAGTGAAAAAAATTTGGTACTTTTGCGACAATGTACTATAATATTTAAATTTAATTAGGTTATTAACCAGATTAACAAATAAAATAATACCATTTTTCGTTTATTATACCTTATTATTCCAACTTTTTAATGGTAAGCGAAATACATTCGACATTGCTTCAGACTCAAAGGTTAGTCGTCGCTCTTCTTGCTCTTCTTGCTCTTCTTGCTCTTCTTGTTCTTCTTGTTCTTCTTGTTCTTGCTCTTCATCGTCTGAGTTAACGGGTGAGGCAATTGGAGAGGCAACTGGAGTTATATCTCCAGAACCTACTCGTTCTCTTAAAAGATTAGTAGATATAAATTAACATTTACAGCTTCATTATATATCCATTATACACAAAAATAGCACCAACAAGGTTAATACCGTTCTTCGTCACTACCCACACCTCCAAAGAGATCGTCAATTTCATCCGCACTATTTTCATTAGCACTTTTGCTGACGCCATTCATAGATTTAGGGCTTCCGTTCTCTTCCCCCATTTGAAAAGTGGATTTAAAACTCTGTTAAAATAAAAGATAGATATTTATATAATATGTTGCATAGTAGATCAACCATATGATATATTACTTTTTATCGTGATTTGCAGGTGCACGAATCAGATTTTTCGGATGTTTGACGCCAATCAGACCATGACCAATTTCGCCGACTCCTAATCCGCCGACACCTATTTTGCCGACGGCCATTTTATCGACAGCCCACTTTTCTGACAACCCCATTTCACCGACAGCCCATTTCCCCGACGTCATTTCATCGACAATTTTGGCACGATTTTGGGTTAGGGTTGGCCCGCTTTATGGCTAAAGGTAGATCATGAATAGAAAGTCTGCAAAATAGGATTGTCAGCGGCTGTCGAGGAAATGAATTCGGGGAAGTGGGCTGTCGGTGAAATGGACTGTCGGTGAAAGAAATGGGCTGTCGGTGAAATAGGTGTCAGCGAATTAAAAGTCAGCGAAATCTACCAAACCCGCCGAAATCAGAAACTTATTCATCGGCGATTCTGTAAATAGTGGTTTACAACTGTTTTTATAACTCCCCGAAATACCTGTTTCAGTGGGGTATTCGGTCAACTATGTTTGACAAAACTATATGCGGTATCATATAAAAATTAATTATTAAGGATTTTTTTTTGAAT